GGGGAATTCTGGGAATTGAAGTCCACTCATCTTAAAGTGGCCAAGTTTGGACAACACTGAAGTAGACACAAAGAATTCCAGAAGCCATGTTCTGTATACCTTTGCTATGTTGTTTTAGTTAGTAGTTAGAGGACTGACAGTAGGAGAGAAAGCTATGAAACACTATCAGTATCACAGTTTTCCTAAAGGGAAAGAAATGCTGTTGCTTGGTTTTTTCCTTTTGGAACAGATGGAGAAACTGCAACCTTGCAGCAGGTGACTGTGCATGGGGAAGGCAGCACAGAGAGGCTGGAGGGATGATTGGGGCAGGGGTTAGGGCTACCAGGAAACATTCCTCTGGTGCTATCCTGTGGTTGTCTAGATGTCTGCAGCCAAAGTCCAATAACCCCAGAGGAGACTGGTAAATGCAGGATAGTGAGCGGGGAGGAGAATGAATAGGTTGAGAAGAATTAGATGGGAATTATAGAAAGACAACATTTGCAGTGGCCAAAAGCTAGAATTATCAAATAGAGAGAGAAAGAAAGATCTAAGAAGGTATAGGAGGTGGAACAGTCAAGAACATGGAAAAAGAACACAGAGGGAAGGCAGAGACAAAGATAATGTTTGAAGTGAAAAACATTTTGGAGAGCAGGAGAGAAAAGCAGTGGTGGGCGAGCACAGGGAGAAGAAAAGACTGGGGAATGTGAGGAGATGAGAAGATGTCCCTGGGTGTCTGAACCTCCAACCAAGAATCACATGACCCTAGGTGGTACTTTTTGGATGCTTACCTTATGTAATGCCATCAAAGTCACTTTGGGGTAGCAGTAAAGAGAAACAAAAAGACTTTTACATTTGCTCCTATAGCAGTGTGATGATTTTGTTGTAGTATCATGCCCAATGGCTGGATAAAACTTTTCTGCCTTTTCTGGAGTTCCTGTACATCTCCTTTGAAAAGATCTATCCCCTCATTTAATAGCCATTTACAGGTAGCCAAGGGTTATGTGTGTAAATGATGAAATATGCACACAACATCCTGAGATAAACCTTGGGACTTACATATTTGCATCCTATATTGGGATGCCAGTATGAAAGGAAGGGTTTACCTCAGGATGTCACTGTGCACATTGTCAAATGCTTTTAATCATGCCTCATACTGGAGATCTATGCCTCACCCAGTCAAATCTTTAAAGGAATTGTTGGCAGTTTGAGAAAAACAAGGGAGATCATCTCTTCTCCAGAAATGCCTCAAATTCCTCCTCCCCAAAATCTTGTCCACCAAAACTTAGCAACAAATCTCAGAAACATTCTGAGCAACTGTTTTTCGGTTGCAAAATCCTTCAGGTTATTCTAAAACTTACTGCAGACACTTGTCCTCCATCCGCTCAGCAACACGCCTTTAGCAGCACAGGCTCTGACATAGGAAGAGAGGGCAGCACACATGCAGTCCTCGCTCTTTTCACAGTTGCAGGTGTCAAACATGCAGTTCTAGAAAAACAGAGGAGCTTCTTATTAATCAAACTTCACCTTTCTTCAGAGACCTTTACCTTTCTATCCAGGGTGCAATCCTTGGCTCCTTCATTGCTGAATGATACCAGCCAGCATCTCTTACTATGGGACTGCTAGAAGATGTAGTCAATAATATCTGAAGAGTCACCATTTCTGTAGCCCTGCTTTAGCCTGGCCTTGCAAAAATCATGAGCAACTTTGGAGAGATTGCATTGGAAGCCATTTTACTGCTTTGGTCTAAGTTTTCTGTCATATTCTAGTTGGTTGGATTCTTTCAGTGTACAAAGATATAACAACTTATTAGCTTTCAGGAAGCAAGATATTTCCATGAATTATGACATCCTGAAGAGTAAATAGTTGGACCCTACATGTGCTATAAATCAGTAGAGTTAACTTGGAGTTTATATTGGAAATGTACAGCCCCATCTAAATCCTGCTCATTGGAGTTTCCTTCCTTCCGCATTATTCTGCATTTTTTCTTAAACATTGCAAGAAAATGTACATTGATTGTTTTACACAACTTGCCTTAACATGTGCATTTTGTATACACCTTAACCTAGCATGTGCATTTTCCTAATATATACATTTTTAATAGAGTTTTCTTAACATACACAGCTTGTATGCAACTTTCCCCAATTGCTACATGCGCTTACGCAAATTTAAACCCTAAACTATATGGCAAGATCTGAAGTACATAACCTGAAGGATAATAATGTTTTGATTCACAAGGTAGTCCAGGAAATGCAAAATATTTGGAACACCTGAAACATTATTTAATACCCTGATTAAGACTTCACATTATACCAGAATGGAAATGCTAAACATATTTCATACTGGCATTTGTATGTTAACTATTGACAAGTTATAGGGTCCAGGGTGCGAAAAAGAATGAAATGCTTCTATATAGAGTGAGAAATACAGTATATAGGCTGGATTACCAAATATAGAGAGTGAAAAAACTTAGAAAGCTCAGGAGAAGGCCAATTAAAATCTGAAGTGGCTTCTCTAAATTTGGCAATGTATTTCTTCCCCATTAATTATCTTCAGGTTCATTTCAGTGGAAGAGAAATAACTACTCACTGTATGGTAAACAGCTGGGTTTACTACTGAGTGGCATTTCTGAAAGGGCCCGTTGCTGTTAGTCAGCAATCCGCACCAGTGTGAAGCATATTTTTCTGTGAAACAGAGATAAATGTGGTGTCATTTCAGTACGTTTTTTGGCTATAGATCCTCTGAGGCACCTGTTGTAGTCATTCCTTGACTACAAGAAACCATTATCATTGTGTTAATCCAGATAATCAACAGAAGGCAGAACAGAAGCCAAAGGAGTATTCAACTTACCATTCATACAAGGTAAAACATGAATAAGTTTAAAAGTATTCTTATGTGTGTGTGAAAGAGTAAAATTATAGAATTAGCCCCTTTAGTTATTTGCCTAATCTCTCTCTCTCTCTTTCTCTCTCTGTGTACATACACACACACATTCATACTTTGTACAGATATTTGAACTCATATGTACATATATTACTTTCTTCTTTGTGACTTGCAAGGATGATCTGGATGACATGCAGGAGCATCTACAGGGGGGTCAAAATTCAAGTTTGAAGCCACAACCCATCCCTTTTCATGTACATCACAAGTGTGGCACATATAAAAGGAAGCATAGTTGTAGCTGCTGTGTCAACTTTTTAAATTCTCCACGCTCCCCTTCCATGGTTTGTGACATGGTGCAATCTGTAAGGATTGGTGTATTTATATAAGGTCTCATCTCTAGTTGGGAGTTGGTACGTTTGGATTAGAACTAGAATATTAGATAGAATTGAGAGAAGTCAAACTTAGATTCTCACTTAGCAGTGAAGCTCACTAGAAGGCACATTCAATATTGTGTTCTAGAGCTTCCACTATTGGCTCCAACCTTATCTGATCCTGAGCTCACGGGCATCTCAATGATGATCAGCCACATCAAAATGGTGAACACAACTGGGTGATCAAAGCCCTATTCCTTTTTAACAAGTTTTCCATCCACTGCATGCACATAGAGAGGGGTGGGGCTTTGATTGCCTGGCCACACCTGCCATTTTGTGATCATTGATCTTGCTGTGGAAACCCCTACTTGAACCACTCACAATCTTTCAGCCTAATCTGCCTTACAGGACTATCTGGTGAACAAAATGAGGGGAAATAACCATGAATGTTGTCCTAATGTTCTCGGTGGAAAGGCAGGATATAAATGTACAATAATAATGATAATCATAATTGTCCATTGTAAAGATGAACTTTATGTCCTGGTAACTCTAGACCCATGCAACTTTAACCATACAAACGTTGAATATTTCAGAGTCCTTCTGGGTTTCTATTTTTTTAAGCCAATGCTAGAAGTGCTTCTATGTGTGTTTTGTTTTCCTTTAAAGGATCTCATTTTTAAGATGTTTCTAGAACAGCCATGCTTGCTGTGAATTTTGGAAAGCACAGTGTCAACAGTTCAGAGAGGAATAGGTCAGGAAAGAGTGCCTAGGAAAAGAGCAGTAAACAGATGGGCATACCATTTTCTATACTGAGAGTACAGGGGTTCTCAAATAAGTTTTTGACGTTGGGGCAATCTGCCTGTGTTTTCCAGGTGTTAGTAAAGGCAGCAGGGGTTCCTTCTGTCACCCCACTGATAGCTTTAAAGTCATCTGTTTGGACACTGTTGAAATTTCCACAGAGACCTGAAATAAAAGTGAAAGACGTCAATCCTTTGTACATTATCATTGTAACATCTCTCTTCTGTGTGGTGAGAATGACTCATTGATTCACTTACCACATGTCTGCCCTTTGTGGGTTGGCTCCATGTACACAAACAACTGCATGATAGGGATAAACTGTATCAGCAGTTGGATGCCAAATTTTGTGTGTATAACAGTGAAGAACGAGGAAGGGCTGAAGATAGTGACATTGGCTGTAGAAACAAAACCACACAACAAAGCAGTTATCAGACGGAAGTGAATTTTATTTACCACCAAGGGATGAATCTTATGTGGTTGTTGCTGCAGTGCATACAGAGATGTGCACACTTGGACTTTGCATTGCAGTAAGTGATACTGATGCATGCTTAGACTTTGCATCTCAATCAATAACTGATACTAATAGTAACTAATAACTTTTAGATTTAACACTTCTTATTAACATGCATTAGCAATTACTTGTGGTCAGTCAATTAATACCTACTTCAAAGGAAAGGTCTAAGCTTACACCTAAAATCCCAAAGAAGGTATTTGTTGGCAATATACTAAATATCCATCTTTTCCAGTTTCTTGTTCCCATAGCAGCCAACTCAATACTTCTAGCCAGTCCAGAAGCAAACATGAAGGCAACAGACTCTCCTTCTGCTGTTTCCCACTTTTATATACTTGGTCCATGGATAATATTTTAAAGTCCAATTATGGCAAGCTGGCACCCCTATCCATGAAACCTGATTCCATAGTAAAAAGAACAGTAAGGGTAGGTGGTTCCATTATCTGTGTAAATACAGGAATATACTTCACAATTAAATAATTTGTAGTGCAACATGGTAGAGCCCCATCTTTATTAACAAAGAAAAGGCTGAAATTGATTTTTGTGGCTCTTTTTAATGATAGTGTGTTTCCTGTGCTAAGACAGACTTGTAACAATATTCAGTTCTTTTTTCTATCAAGTGAGGAGGTAGTTTTTTACTCATACCTGTACAGAATTTCACTTTACAGAATTTCAGATAAGTTGCTGGAACAAAAAGTCAATCCTTAAGTTGTGTAAAATAGTTGAACATAAATGGCAAAGACTTGAAAGAACTTACATGCTGAGATAGGCAGTTGAGTGAGAATCATATTCACATACACAGCACCAGTAGACTTGATCACAATCACCTGGGAAGTAGGAAATGCGAGGTTAGATACCGCATGCACAGTTATAAAGAATGTCTTTACTGCAGTATTTCCTTCAGTCACACTGATTTTCATTATCTCTTCTAGGAAATATACACTTCTTGTTCTTTTGCCTGCCTTTTCTTTTTAACACAGGATACCTGTACATAGAATCTATGTTGTATTCCATTTGCTGGTATGAAGTTTCTGACAGTAACTGGTTGAATCCGGTTTGTGTGCCAAAAACAAAGCTGGTGAAATATTTGGAACTGGTTTTAAGTGGGATGGGGCAACTTTTTTTCTGGGATTTTTCAGAGACTCAGGTGCAGAGGATTCCAGTACCATGGAGAAATTTTGTGAGGCAAATTTGAAGACAGGTACAAAAGGAGGTAAAGCAAGGAGCAGGAGCCAGCAGCTGCAGCTGCAAGGTAGCTCAAACTAGGGAGTAAGAACTAAGATGTGAGGAAAAGAAATATCACAGGGAAGGAAAGTAGAAGAAAGGAAAAGAGGAATAGGAAGGTGATAAAGGAGGCCATAATATACAAAGCAAGATGTTGGAAGGAACTAAAATTATGGAGCCAGGATAGACAGAGAAAATAGATACTGAAATAATAACAGAAAAAAAAAATTCCATTAGCTGGATTCGCTTACAAAGAAACAATGGACAGAAGTCATGAAAACTGCAGAACATTGTGCAAAGAGAATGAACTTCACATGCTGTTTGTAACTGGGTAGTCAAGACTTTCGTTGCAGATTTCTGGTATAGCCTTAATGTTAGTATCAGGAGTGCAGCTGAGTACTAATTTGTGCTTGCAACTGAACATGCTTCCCACTGTGTCTGATGAAAAAATTACTCCTAAAATTACTGAGCGAGCATGGTTCTCATCATTCTTGCTCTTCATACTTACTGTCTGTCCTCCATCAATGCTTATAGCTAAACCTTTCAGGCATGTCTCAGTGTCTGTCAGGCCACACTTTCGAATTTCTCCCAGAACAGTGAAGATGTTGTTATCACAGAGCTGGAAAAAAAAGAGTATTAGTAGCTTGCATTGCTTGAGCCTATAGCATCCCTTTTAAACTTATGAGACTTTTCAAAATAATTAGAATATCTGACTCTTTTTTGTAGGCCAGGGTTTCCTACTCACAATTAAAAGAACACAAAGCACTTTAAAAGTTGCAATGTATGTTTTTTTTTTGGTGGTCTTTGAACAACACATCACAATTTAACCAAAAAAAAAAAAAAAGAGGACAGCCATCAGATATGTACCCTCCCATCCCCCAAATACTGGAAAACAGATTTGTAGCTGATGATTTCATAATGTCTAACTGTAACGTTGGAAAAATAATTATCCTTTTTGTAAATGTTTGATGAAGAAAAGGTTCAATTATCCCGAGCACAGATTTCAAGTGTAATCAAGAAGGAAGGAGTCTTATTTCCATTGGTATGAATAAGACATGATGATAATTCATAGATCAGTAAAAAGGATGAACCACTCCTAGTTACAACAGTGCATGGGACCTTGTTTTCAGTGCGACAATCCCACTTGGTTGGAGGCTGTGTTATCACGACTTAATCATGTGGGCAGGACCTATGTCATAGGTCTGTTCTATAGAACCAATATACTCCATTAACATGAACTTTAAACCACAATGCTGATGTTAAAGAATAGGAAGTGTCCTTGAGGCCCATCAATACAGTCAGATAGCCTTGGGTAGGTTACTCCATGCTGATTACCTTAGTTAAGATATAGCTACAGTCCCCAAAGACAGAATAGTATTTCTCATCAAAAGTGGTGATGTGGGAGCCACCTTCAATAGAACATACTCCAGGACATGAAAGGCTGATGCAAGTCCAATGCCCTTCAGTGCATGAACTGAAGTGAAAAGGAGAAGAGAAAGAAATTACTAACAAACTAATAAGCAAAAAGTAGTATAATCCTTATAATAAATAAGGATAGGCTGTTGTATAATGCTTATTCTCATGTCTTCAGTGAAGCAGTAGCCTATGACCTTTGTTAATGAATACATTTTTACTGGTGTTCCAAAGTATTGGAATGTTCACTAAGGATTTTATTGCAATGTTATTTAATGTTTTAAAAGACATACAGTATTAATGGACATAACACCATAATCCCTATAATCCGAAAGGAAATATTTGTATTCAAAATAGGTTACTTTAAAAATCCTGTTTTATCTGGTAAAGAAATGAATTTATTTGGGGGTTTTGATTAAAGCTCTTTACAGAAGCATATTACTCATGCAAATTATGCTTGTGTTCTTAGAACACATCTGTTTTCCCCAGTCCTTATCCAAATTCTACATCATAGATTTGGATGGCAAATATGCTCCAGTTCTAAATTCTAGAACATCTTCTGGATGCTTGCTATAATTTATATAAGCTGTTTATCCTCCTCATGGTTTTCCTCTTCAAAGCCTCTCTGGAGGACCTCCAATTTGGCAAAGCAGATCTGGGGAGAACTGGTGCAGGAATGGAGGAGAAATGAAAAATCCATTCAACTGGGATATGCTGCTCTTTCAGCAGATGAACGTCCTTGGAACTGGTCCTCAGGTCATATAAGGTAATGCTAGGCCTTATTGCCACTAACCATGAATGCAGTCAACTATGTGCATCTCAAAAGAGATCAGCACAGCTGATTTTCAGCTATTTGCCTACTTACACAGTACACAATGAACTTCTTAAAGAACTCAGGGTTCAGTAATCTAACTGGTGGTATTTGCTTGCTGACATGCATGTCAGTTAGAATTATAACATTTCTAACATCATGTCTGGTTGTTTTCCCAGGCCTTTGATTAAGATGGAGGGAATCCCTTGTTGGGTTGTTCTTATTAATTTGGTTTCTGTCTGTATATAGTGACCAGATCCATCTTATTTTGGTATGTATTGGTTTGGTATGATAATATATTGTGAACCAACCAGAGTCAGTTGGAATCGGGTAGTGCTTAAATTAATTAAATAAGTAAATTTCATAATGAACCCTCTCCTAATCAAAAATGTTAAGAGGTACCAATGATTTCTAAATCTTTTAATTTTTGAAGAAAAATGAATCACATTTTTAAAATATATTTGTATATCTTTCTTTCAACTCTCTGATCTTTTATAAATAAGAGCTTTTTTTTTCTGTGCTTTCACATGCCAAGAATTGTAGGAGGGTTGAGCAGCAGTAGCATGCAAAGCTGCAAGGAATTCATGCTCAGAAAAGAAATCCCATTATGTGTGCAGTTAAACATTACTGCATAGTCTAATTTTATTTTGACAATGACATTCTTAGTATGACTAATTATGTCTGGTACTGAATATTCTTAACAAGTCAGGCTATCAAATAACATGCCTATTCACTTATTCTCCCCCTTCCC